TTATCATATCTTGAGTAATCAGTTGGTTGAGTAACCTAAAGTTCAAATGGTCAAACCTCAAATGCCACAACCAAATGTGCTTGCAGCTGACAATTGTTTTTAGGCATTGTATCTCATTCGAATTGATCATGGTCTTAAATGTCCTATTATTCTACAAATGAGATTTTAAGACCAAATTATACTGGGTATCGAACAATTCTAAGGTTCCACCTTTCATAACCACTGATAAACCTTTTCGACCAGTTGTCCAATATTTAGCAAATTACACCTCATTCCAGGTACACAGAGTACATCGTTGATCATAACTTTTGCTCCTTTGAATTACTACTTGCTAGCACCTTCTTCTTGCAACGAGTTATTATTTGCAAGCTTGCCATTGCTCTTCTTCGACTCATCTAAATCTGCTAACCACACTCTTAGACCAGTCATATTATTTAAGCAGCTTGTGTCGAGGAACTGGATCTTAGAGCCGACAGCTTATCTGCAACCGCATCCATAAGCATCATACCTTCAAAATCATCTTAATTGTGACGTACAAGGTTTGCTTTTTATAGCTCCATTATCTTTCTTATGTCAACGATTCTTGGTTAAGTGGCTCCATTTTTCACAATTATAGCACTGCACATTTTTCTTCTATCGTTTGTCTTTTTGATATGAGGTTCTTCACCTCTTCTCGAAGATTTAGAGGTCCTATCATCGACCTTATATTTTTTTAGGGTTCACCGAAGACTTCTTGCTCTGAGTCTTGTCTCCTTTGCCCTTGAACATGTTAGAATCACCATGTTTTTTTTCATGTCTGGGCCTACAATGCTTGTATCGAGTCTTAAATCCATTTTCTATGTATAATCCTTAACTCATGTGCCTCAAACGAACTAACCAAATCTTCCAATTTCAAGATTGCAATATTGTTGGATACTTGAATGGCTACGATGACATGATCAAAGTGAGAGGTCAACGTATGCATTATATTCTCAACTATCATCTTATCAGTTAGGACTTCACCAAAGCCTTTCATGAAATTGACAAGATTTTGCACCTTCAAGACATAGCCTACAATCTTTTCATCTTCTCTCATATGCAGTAATTCATACTGCCTTCGTAGTGCCTGCAATTTGACACCTTAACCTTCTCACCACCTTCGTAATACTTGACAAAAATATCACATACCAATTTCTACGATTCACCATGAGAAATCCGATAAATTTTTTTGACATATATTGCACGTTGAATACATAATGCAACCCTGCAAGCTTTCTTCTTGGCATCCTTGTAAATGATTCTCCGAATATCGTTTGTGTTATGAGTAAGCTCATAAACACCATTAGTCACCACTTCTAGGATTTCATGGAAACTAAATAATGATTGCATATGTTTACTCCATTTGAGTCCAATTTTTGTCATCAAGAATTGTAAGAGAATTAGGAATGAAATTATTACCATTCATCTTTGCTTGCAAGCTTTCTTCTTGGCATCCTTGTGAATAATTCTCTGAGCATCGTTTGTGTTATGAGCAAGCTCAGAAACACCATTAGTCACCACTTCTAGGATTTAATGGAAACTAAATAATGATCGCATCTGTTTTCTCCATTTGAGTCTAATTTTTGTCATCAAAGAATTGTAAGAGAATTAGGAATACAATTGCTACCATTCATCTTTGCAGCAAACACGATTCACGATCCTGAAAACATTAGCACCGACATCCAGTTCTTGAATGCATGATCAAGAATAACGAATCATAAATTCTAGATATCAATTTTTTAGTGTCCAATGTACTTAGGTAAAAAAGAAATGAGAAGGAGAATGAAAAATAATTGTATCAGATTAGATTTTATTAAATACACCATAAAATAAAATAAAAGAGGCGAAGAGAGAAAGAGAAAGAGAGAGATGGTCTCACCTTTAAAAATATGTCAAATTATGCGGAAAATTAAAAAGGGATGGTTCTTGGAGATTGTAGAGCCACACATAAATTCATATCTACCACATTTGTCAAGGAACATAATTTGCATATACGAGAAGGCCTAATGGTGAAGGAATGTGTTCTAAATTAATGTTGGTGATCCAAGGGCTGAAAAATTCGAATTTTTTTCTTTCCTGCCATAGTTTTAGGGGTTAATTTCCAAAATGTCATAGTTTCCAATTAATATACCAAATTGCCATGTTTCTAAAAAAATCTCATTTTTGGTTGAACACTTCCGCCCTTTCAATGGGCGGCAGAGTGTAATCCATGTTTTTCTTTTTCGTTTTATTTTTTATATTTTCTTAAATATTATTACTAATTTATATATTAATATTAATAATATTAGTAAATTAATAATAATAATTATTAAATTAGTAATAATAATTAATTTATTAATAATTATTATTAAATTAGTAGTAATAATAATTTAATTAGAAATAATAGTTATAAAAAAGATAATAATAATAATAAATAAAATATTACGTAAAAATAAAATAAAATAAAATAAATTATTTTAAAATAGTACTAATTAAAATAAAATAGTACACTGAAATATATGATAATATTTATAAAATAAAATACAATAAAAGAACTAAAATAAATAGTTATTAATTTTTGAAATTAAATATGTACATTAAAATTTTTATTCATCCTTAATTAATTTCGACCCAGTCGACGTAAGTGGTGGTTCCACAGGCAGGAGGTTGTACATTTCTGGTGGACCAGGAATGTCTTGTTTAATTCCGAATTAGAGTTTCACCCTATCTGAATGATGCATTTCAACCTAAGCGAAAGACAATATAAATGTTGTAGAACTCCACATATCGCTTTCAGTTAGATCCTCATCTTCAAGTTCAAGATAGGGTCTCCATAGAAACTATAATATAATTAAAAAGGGATTAGAAAAAAAAAATGGAAAGTACTAGTAGAAAAATATGGGATTAGAGACAATACATCATCTTCCTCAAAATGATCGAAGAACGTCCGATACCCAGAAGCACAATGCGGAGTTTTTTCGTAATTCATCTCATACGCGGACCACATTAGTTAATGATATCAATTAATATAAACAATGTATTAAAAAGTATAAATTAATATTATACGTTAATTGATTATAATAATATATATTAATATTATTAATATATATATATATATTAATATTAATAATATTAATATTAATATTAATAATATTAATATTAATAATATTAATATATATTAATATTATTAATATATATTAATATTATTAATATATATTAATATTATTAATATTAATATTATTAATATTAATATTAATATTATTAATATTAATATTATTAATATAAATTAGTAATAATATTTAAAAAGAATTAAAAAATAAAACGAAAAAAAAATATGCTATGTACATAACCGCCCATTCAAAGTGCGGTTGACTTTTTCATTACACTCTGCCGCCCATTGAAAGGGCGAAAGCGTTGAACCAAAAATGAGATTTTTTTGAAAACATGGCAATTTGGTATATTAATTGAAAACTATGGCATTTTGGAAATTAACCCCTAAAACTATGGCAGGAAAGGAAATTAACCCCTAAAACTATGGCAGGAAAGAGAAAAATTCGAAAAATTCATCAAGATTTTCTGTCTTTGATCATGGAGAAATGGATGTGGTATTTAGAATGAAATGGTTGATTTTTTAGATAATTGACTCAAAAAATTCTCATTGATGATGATATATATCAGATTTTGAAAGAAGGACCTGACTTTGACTAAGGAAATTGCTTTCTTGAATGAAGTCTGACATGAAAGAATTGAATGACTGAGAATAGGATTTTATGGCGGAGTATCAACAACTACATGCAGAATGTGAGGTGTCAAGCTCTCAAACTTGGAGTATCAACAACTACATGCAGAATGTGAGGTGTCAAGCTCTCAAACTTGGAGTGAGAGTTTGTAATTAGTCCAATCAATTTAATTCATGTGGTAGTTTTCTATCAGAATTCTATCTTTGATTTTGCACAGTAGATAATCCTATATTTGAAGATGCTCAAAGAGTACACCCAACAGTGAACAACATATGATTGTGTCATTGATTATAAATTTGACGGATTGACCATTCACACAATGGATAACATAATCGAGAAACCAGCAACATCATATAACAGCTTTGTTATGCAACACCATACTGTACATTGATATTTTATAGAAAATTAAAATCCACACAGTAATAATTCCCCAATACTCTTTTATAGTAACACACCATGTCAGCGTTTGAGCTCTACAAGAAACTTCAGTGTCAACAAAAAAAACCAACAACACAATCCTGCTACGTCGTCCATGAAGTGTTCCGTGTAATTAGAAAATCACCCGGGAATAGAGCAAGCGCTGACTTGTATTTGGAAAACAGCTAAAATTACGTTTGTTTATATAAATACCCATACCCTTGGCTAATAAGGGATTGTATATATTGAGGGAATATTTACACTAAAACTATTTAAGATATAAAGTCAGACAACTTGCCAGGCAAATCTATCCATAATTCTTCAAACAGGTAACAGCTTGAAAATGAGTCACTGTCAGTGTGATTTCACTGCTTTCATTTCTCTTTTTTCTCAGAGCCATCTTCAATTAAGTTATGTCCAAATATTTAAGCCAAATCAAATCCATCACAGTACTTCCCTCCCATGTATTGTAAATGATTTTTTTAACCACACTAACTCCTTCAATTGTAAGAATCTGTCAGTCCAAAAAGAGACAGAATCCGGCGGCTAGCAAATGTATGCATGCTCCAAAATTGTATGTCAGCAAGCTTAGCACTGCAAGGGAAAATCATCAACTTTGACACAAGTAATTGCAAGAATAGTAAATTTAGCTAACATTTACATGAGCATGTGAATGAAACGGACTTGGTAAACATAACTCAATTATTGAAATACTTTAACAACTTCCACAGCAAGGAATCAAAGTAATGGGCCACTTCCCACAAGATAAAACCATATTATATATCATATGCAGCTACATCACTAGACTATATGATGAAAGGAATGTGTCTCACCAATCTAAATACTCTAAGTCCCAGAACTTGCTTTTTGGACCCAAACTTGTTTCTGCAGAGTAAAGAGATTTATCATTTATTGAACCAGGAAAGAATACGCGGTGTTTCAATGCAGAAATCAAATTTAGGTACCTCGTTGGAACCATATGCCGAGTTACTAGGTTTTCTAGGATGCTTCCCCTCACTAATCGAATAGCCATCAACATCCTTCACCCCATGTATTGGTCCACGGCGACCAAAATGCCTAGTGAAACCTAAACAATCACGAGCAGTGAAATTTAAGCAAACATTAAAGATGAGTATAAACATAAAAAATTAAAAAAAAAAACTAGATTCTGCTATCCAAAGCCAGAAACCAACCATTCTCTGATGAATGACTGGCACGGAGATTTCCAAGAGATTTTAGCTCTCCACTTCTTGCACTTGGTGTGTCATGTTTAAAATCTGCATGACCTCCTGTTTTGTAATGCAATAAATTTTCAACTTGTGAAGAACATGCAACTGTAAGAAGGCGATAGAAGACTTTCCAAAAAGGTAATATTTTGTGCATTAATTTTTCGAGTTTCAATCTTTTCCCCCTTTTACATAAGCATAAAGGAATAGTCCACAATTGCAAAATCAAAGTGTGTACCTTCCAAAGGATCTACTAGTGAAGAGGCTGAGGAGGACAAAGATTCATCACCTACATTGGAACGACTTGTCCAAACACCACGGTCAGGTCTATCCCTATGTCTATAACGCCTCTCCTGTCTCTCACTAGAAACATGTAGACCATGCACGGTAATTCTATTCTCTGGCGCACCATCAGTGCCCTTCAAAATCAATTGCACATGTACGGGGCGAGCAGGCTGTTTTTCTTTTTCTAGATTTGATGTTTGGATCTGCCGCTCATAATGGGCTCTGGAAGACTGACTTTGTCGCAGATCTTTGTTTGTGAGTATGCTTTTGATAATCCTACCACTACTACCTTCATGCCGCTGATTCTGTTTCAGAGCGGTAGAACTAAGAATTGTTTTAGTTGAAGATGCTATGTTATGATGCTGCAACATGCTATCTGAATCAGATACCTGCATAATAAGAAACAAACAAAAGCAAATACTTCATACATCATGTGGCAATTAGACAGCAGATTATAGGAACAAATCCTTTCAAACCATTTGTATCATTGTATCACATTTTTACTAGTGTTTTTGTAAAGCTCAGTGACAGTCATTGATTGATTTGTATGCGAGACTAGTCAGAAACATATTTAACCTTTGATTTCTGATTAAATTTTTTAATAGGAGAAAGATGAAACTACAACCTGAGTTTATCAACAATTCCACTTATTAATACAATGACTTCAAGATTAGCTGAAATTTACATATTCTTTAAAAATGAGTCTGGCAAAATTAAACTTATTTTAAATGAAAAAACAACAAGAGAGGAGAGAAGGTTGGAGTGACTTTTAGTTCTAAGAAAGTAACAAAATCAGTAGTTTATAGTAATTACTTCTCTTTCTTTCCCTTTAAGAAGCAAAACTTTCTTTTTTCCAGCATCATTACTTCCAGCAATTCCTGAAATGACAGACAAGGTGGTAAAAGAAAAGAGCAGTTACTTCAATAATAAAGTACTCAACATATCAGAATTATCAGAGAATGAGAGGAGCCACCTCTAAAATATTAACATCGGAAACTGGGGGGAAAAGGGAAAACAGGGGGAACAAATTATGCATGAAAAGTTGAACAAAATATCAACCTCACCATTCTCATCAAAAGTTTGGTTTCCATCTGAAGAAGCTATATTTGAAGATTTATTTGAAAGATTTTGATCACCGTGCCTGGGAACCAAAATATAATTTGATTTGTCTTTTACATTAGAAGTTTTCCCTGGGTCCCTTGCAACATACTGTTCACCATAAAAGCAAAAGTATGACATGTTAAAAAACAAAAGAGTAGGAACCAAGAATCGGTACTTGATATGTATGTGCAATCAATTGCGACTAGAGAAGTATCATATACTAATGTTGTTTGATTGTTTCCATTATTTTAAAAGTTAAATAAAAAACATTTTATTAGGAAGTACATCTCTCAAACTTTCCTCTGCGATAAAAAAATTGCTTGAAAATTCAGAAGTCCAGCAAAATACAAAGTTGAAAAAAACAGGATAAGCTAGTTTTAACTAACATTTAAACCTATGGCTACTTCTTATTCACCTGTTAGAACTATTCAAGTATGATCAAAGGACCATAATGTTATCTTCAGCAAGAAAACCTTGTACACCAGCTAGAAAATAATTTATATCACTCAACTCTATATTTCTAGTAATTGATTTTTCCAAAGAGCCATAAATTAAAAATCTTTTCCAGACAACCATATATCCAAAGATTGATAGTAATGTGCAATCAAAAATCAGATAAATGGAAAGAATTATTTATCCCAGCTATAAAAAACATGTGATTATTTGCAATGATAACCAAAAAAAAATTCTTTGATGAAATCATCATAAATGAATAATAGTTAAAGCTATAATGAACAGTACCATTGTGGTGGAAACTCTCTTTTTTGCATAACCACGTCTTGTTGGGGCAGAACTAGAGGATCCATTTGATGGTGTGCCAGTTCTTCTGCTCACTTTTCCATTAGACAGTGATCTCTGCACAAATTCCAAGTAGAAGATTAGGTAAGCAAGGAAAGGATGGTGCTTCTCGATATAACAGGAAGACTTGTTATTTATGACGGACTTGATAAGAATGAATGCACCAACTCTTATTTACATGTGCGCTCACAAATAGAAACATACAGATACAAGCATGCTTAGGGGTGCAGATAAAATGACAATGAAAAACCGAGTAAGTTTTCTTTAAATACCCGTGGTCCCTTGGAAGCTCTTTTCTGGCGCACGAAGTCCATCAGTGGTGTAACTATAGGAATATCTTTCCCAGTACCTGCTAAACAACAAAAAAATCCAATAAATAAAGAATAAAAGAATATACTCTACAGGCTCATTCGTGTATGCGTGCTCTTTTTCGTCTCTAAAATTCAAAATCAAATTTGTCCGAAAATAAAATCAAAATTATAACTCAGTGCCTATTTTAAGCATTAACTTACGAACCAGATCGTTCTGCCTCCCTTTTCTCCAATTGTATCTCAGCACTAGGGAGATTCTCAGCGGGCTTGGCAAGTTGTTCTAGAAATTCCAGATACTCGGGATCTAGATGTTCATCATGTAAAAAACTATATTATATTATATTCATCAAAAGGACTCTACATATAACTCCTATTGAGGTACATCTATCTATCGATTGTAGTTTATTGCAATCCCTTTCTAAATGGTACCTTTATATATGGTTCCATCACGACCATCCTTTTTAGACCACTGCTTTGGGACACGCTGTGAAGGAGCATATTCAACAGTGACTTTGAACTGTGTTCCTGGGAAGGAAAACCAGTGAGACAGAGAACCATATTGGGCATATAATATCAGAGCTCCAAGGCTTCTGGTACAAAATAGTTAAAATAAGCATGTAAAGTGTAAACTATACATAGAATCTGTTTAGGACGAAGAGAATTCTATTTAGAATGTAATTTAAAAGGCAATGGTTTACTTCCAATAATAAAACATAAGGCACCGACACCACTTGATATATAATAATTTATTTATTTTAACTAAATAAAATACTAATATTATTATCAAAAAATATCAAAATTGAAAATCAAAATATATACACGTGCATCTAGATTGAGAATTTTATTTATCAGTTTACTATGAAAAAGGAAAAATAAAAGTCCTAATGGAATTTAAAGTCTTCAACTCCCCATTGATCAGCCATGTTAGACGCATCCAAGTGCATATAAGGTGTGTATATGCAAAGAAAAATACTTTTTGGGGACATTTGTCTAAAATTGTCGGGCCGCCCTTGTTGTAAGGGTGTCATGCCAGTGTCGGACAATGGTCCAAGAAGTGTAGTGTTGAAGCGAAGGGAAAGATAATTTTTTTGGGACACTTGTTTAGATTATACATGTGTTGTAGGAATATCCCACGTTTGTCGGACACTATTACACACTTAATTCTAGATGTGTTTGTGCTTCATTCATAGTGTCTATTAAAAAAGTCGAAGTGATATAATTGGTTACCCTTTTCGTTGACAAAGACGTGTCCATTGAAGAATTCAGCAAACTCTATAACATCCTCAGGCTTCTTGAAGTCAATGTAAGCTCTACAATATGAGGTATGCTTGGTGCTGAAAATGCATTTAGAGAGAGACTCTAAAATTAAAAGAACATAATCATAATCATAAATGTAAATTGCATTGCATCATAAACATAAACAGTTAAGCATAATAACATAAAAAAAAAAACACACACACAGTGAGACCTGATTTTGGCAGGACGGAAAGAGAGCCAGTTGTAGCGACCAGCAAAGGCGGAATCAATTAGGGGCAAAAGAGAAGCTTCGGTGATGGTGGGAGGCAAGTGGCGAACCACGACCTTGGTCCGATCCGACATCACAAAAACCCTAAAAAAATGTTGGATTTGATAGATAGATAGATTACACAGTTAGTTACAATTTCAAAAAAAAATCAATCTAATAAGTGGGATCACATCTTCTCCGTTGATTGATTGTGAATTTCGAGGAGAGAAAATTAAGGAATGGATCGATCAAGAAATTGCGTGCCCTAATTTGAGAGAAAACCCCCAAATTGCCATAAGAACAGAGGAAGGGTGTGTTTGGTTTGGTTTGGTGTAAATAAAAGAAAGCGAGTTTTGGAATTGGAAGGCAGTGAAACGAAATACTAATGGCATATACGTTTTGCGTTTTGCGTTTCTTTCTCTTTCGCTTTACACGACATCACATATATACTCTCTTAATGTGTTTCTATTTTTTCATTTTGACTTTAATTTATCAATAAATATATTTAATCAATTTCAATTTTGAGTGTTTCGCAAATGATAAAATGAAACACATGTTGTCTCTTCATCAATATAAATAAATGATAAGACTTTGATACAGTGAGTGAGTATTGCTCAATAATTATGAACATAATAGCTCTTTGATGGGTTTTTATGAAAGATAAAGATTAAATAAAAAATTAGGATTTTTGGAGGAAAAAACTATAACTTACATAACTGGAATAATGATTTTGATTATACCAAAATAATATTAAACATATTTTAAAAAATTGTTAGTTTCGTTTCCTTGACACTGTGTACGAGTAAAAATAATATAGTAAAGAAAACATGATAATTTCACATACATGACATTTTATCTTTACTTAGTAAAATTGAATTTTTAAACAAGTTAACATTGTATATTCGAGTCTATCTTGTACGTATGTAAATAGATTAAAATATGAGTTTTTTTTCATTAAATTATTCTAAGATTTTAATCTTTTAACCATTAATTCTATTACTTCTAAGATTCCATATACACACTTAAGGTCTGTATGTCCTTCACTAAAGTTTGAAGGAGGCACTAATGAAATTTGGAGTTTACAAAATTTATGGGCAATCTAGCTTGTTTTTTGTATAAATAAAATGATTAATGAGTTTAATGATTTCAATAATTTTTTTGGAAATTAAATTCGATTTGAATTTGATCATTTAAGGACATTATTAGTAGCATATCATCAAGTTTGTTCTCACGCATTTAGTTGATGATATTGTCGAAAAAATCTTTAAAAATACGAGTTGATTAAGTGACTTCAAATGCATGAGAGATATGCAACAAAAATAAAGAAAAAATATGGAGATGAAGAGAGATATGCAACAAAAATAAAGAAAAAATATGGAGATGAAGAGAGATATGTGTAATACCCCAAATTTTGCCCTCAGATTAGTCGATTCAGGTTGCATGACATTTCATTTGTGCATCAGCTAATTACTAACGGGTTACGTAGTTTGTCTCGTTTTGCAGGAACCGCGTCTGGTACACTTTAGTTGTTGAAGGGCAAAATGGTCATTTTCACGTTGTTTGCTGACAGTCCTTGAAGCTGAGTTATCATCAGGAATTTATTGAATAATCAGGACCTCCGTCTCCGAGTTCTTTATTCTTTGAAGATAAACAGAAATTCACGGTATTCGCATCAGGATGTTCGAGATACGGTAATTAATTCAATGGGCTGAGACTCTGTCGTCAGTGGATTTCTGAGGCATTTATTCTGTCATATGGGTTGATTAGTTTGAGATATCCGTTTGGTTTGGTTCAAGTGGGTGCAAGAATCCGTTCTGAGGAATTTGGTTTCAATAGATATTTATTTTCTGTTTCTTCTGTTGCCCGCTATTTAAATCCCTAAACAGAAAGCAGTATGAATGTCGGCTCAAGTCCATATCAGTTTAATTGCATTTTTTGGCCGAGTTGGTTCACGGCAGGGGATTTATTCATCAGAGACATAATTTGAATGTCAGTACGAAGTTTAGTTCTGTTCACTGCTAATCAGATTTCTCTGCGTTTTTTTTACCGTTTTACTTCGTTCAAGGCCGGTATCGCTTATATCACCGGGCACAACTTAATTTGTGGAAAGCGTGGGTTGTTTAATCTAGTTGATGAGGTTCAATCGGAATTTGTGTCGGAAATGGGAATAGTCGGACAAATTGGAAAAATTAGGAATTAATAAAAAAAAATTGAGTTTCATTTCATTTGTGTGTTTAAATTAATCATATTGCATTGTATTTTCATCTTATTTTTAAATTAACTTTCATTTAATTATATTTTATTTTTATTTCATTTTTAATTTTATTGTCATTTCATAATTTCATTTTTAAAATAAGCATAATTTCATTTCATAACTTCATCTTTAAAATAATTTCTATTTTCAATATTGTTTTCATTTTATATATAATAGTTCTTTTTTTTTATTTATAACAAAAATAATAATAATTAATAATAATGTTTAGTCTATAATATTGTAGCATAAAGATTATTATTATAATAGTAATAAAAATCATGAAGAATAAAAATTTACATTAAAAAAAAAAAAGCATTTCATTACATTTTGCATAAAATAAAATTACTAAAGTCCTAATGTTTCTTCCAAGTTCTCCAACTCTTCTCGACTTTTCCGAGTAACTTCCGAACCTTCCGAACCTTCAAAATAAGCAAAGCAGACAGAGAAATATTTGGTTAGTAATTTTTGACACCCTCAGAAAAGTCTCATCACCGGGTGTCGGGAGGGCACGACAAATTGCCGCAACCGAACTCCCATTTCCGACCACGACATCAGCACTAGACCGATAATATTTGTTCTTAGTTTTGGGACAACCGAGAAAGAGAGATAAAAAGAAGTTTTGCCGAAAAGTGATTATCCAACCAAACAGGATCCGAATGTTTTGTCTATCAAGTAAATATCATGAAGTTTCAAGTAAATATTTTGGATATCCATCAACTGATAAATAAATCCAGAACCAAAAAAACAGTTCAAAATCATTCCAGAAAAACAGTTCAAAAAAAAATCCAAATCCAAACAATTCAAAACCAGTTCCGAACAAACCAGTGTTGGTAATCCAACAGGCAAGTTATCCGAACAAAAGGCCCAGTAAGAACATTGAAATAACTCAACAAATAATCCGTTCAAGGGAATCAGTGGAAAACGGCGAAGATTTCTTAACAGAAATGCCGAATAACCTGCAAGAATAATATCATATCCAGCCCACAAACCAACGACACAGGGTCATATAAATAATCATTAGAGGGATCTTGAAACCCTAAGTACAGCACACAAGAAAACGGCGCCGCGACTCAGATTCGGAAGATCAAGAGGATCTTCGTCCATCATCATTGCCGGATTCAGAAAACCACTGCGGTTTTTGTCATCATAGCCACTCAAAGAAAAAAGAAGAGGATTCGAAGTTACCGCTCGCGACGTTGCCGATCCCACTACCGTCACCATCCGGCGAGGAGCGAAACCGCGGCCTCAGGTGTGACATCATTGGCCGGAGAGGAGGGCTAAAGCATCATCGGACGGACCGCCGTAAATTCACGGCGCCAAGGACCATCGACGGATCGTTACTCCCTTTAACGGAAAAGTCGTTTTCACCATAGGTAAGATGCTCCGGTAATATCTCTGTGGTTTGATTTCTCAATTTCAGGTGCATGCATCGGGAAGGAGAAGCCGACAAGAGCTCCGAATGGTCAATAATGGCCGTCGCGGTTATAGAAGAAGAAGATGGAACTTTGAGACCCATAGAAGCACAATAAGGAGGATAAATGCCCCTCCGTCCTTTCAATTTTTCCAAAAAATTTTTTTCCTCGTTTTGTTTTATTATTTACCTTATCTTTTATTAGTTTCTGTAATTAATTCCTTTAAGTTAATCCTGCTAACTAATAATTAGGTTGTCCTAATATTTTCGTAGAAAGGTAATATGGCAAAAACCTTTAATTAGTTCTGTCACTAACTTTTAATTAATAGTGTTTTAAAATGTAGAAATGGTTTTACTAACTTTTAACTGTAGTAATTTTTCTTTATGGTTAATAATTCCTTTTAAGTGGCTCCTAATAAATATTAAAAAAAAAAACTTTGTAATAACTTAATAAAAAGCTTCCTTTTTTTTAATTAAAAAATAATCACTTAAAAAAAAAATAAATATTTTGTTAACATTCATCTTTAGTCGGAACATCAAATTTTTTTTAATTAATTTAAATTTTTTTTTTCTTACAGAATTTAAAATCAAACTTGATGTAGATTTAGTTTCTCATCATAACTTTATGTACCTCAAATAAAAAACTAAAATTTAATGTAAATTATTATTATTTATTTTCTATTAAAATTTAATGTAAATTAATTTTTTTTTCTTTTAAAAGTGAATGTAAATCAAAGCTTTCATAAAATCGAATGTAAATAAATTTTTATAATTTATATTTAGTTTGTTTTTAACAATTTAAATCTTTTTCTGATAACTAATAATTAAAAGCATTTTAGTAATTTCTAGTTAGTAAAAAGTTTTATAACCTATAGTTAGTTTTTCATTTTTATATACCACTTATAGTAGTTTTAATTCGAAGTTAAGATTAATCATTTTTTAAAATTCAAAAAAAATAATAAAGTTCTTGCGTTAACCGGTGCATTTCCCTTTAATCCTGTTTAGTGTGTTCATTGCAGCTCCTAAGTGTTTTATTTGTTCGTATTTTTTGGTTTTCATGGATGTAATTTACGCGAGGCCATGGTCGCGGTTTATTTGTTTTATTTTTCCGCGTTGCATTATTTTTGGCCCATGGGGGTTTGTAATTTACGCGAACGGCCGCGACTTTTTCTTTTACCGCTTTCTTTACTTTCTGCACCTTAATTTTGTCATATAATATTTTTCCATGTTTGCATGTTTTACCGTTAATTTCCACCCTCCGAAGGAATTAGGATTAACAGTTTGACCACCGAGTCAATAACCCTAATCTCAACTGTTTCTAAACCCTAATAGTCTAGGTGTCCCGCCGTGGACGAAAACGCCCCTTACCCTAGCTTTAGGTCAAAGAGTCGCCGTACTCTGTTTAGGGTTTCCCGCCGTGGAATCCCTAA